CTTTTGAATGATGGTTATCATAATTAAATAAATATAATTTTATCTTAAGTTTTTATGGCAAATTACATATACCCCCCTCGAGGTTTGGCTAAATCACAGATACCCCCCTGAGGTTTGAGAAATTACGAATTCCCCCCTGAATGCTATGTATTTTTCATGTTTTAATCCTTTTTATTTTCTGATTACACTGAGAAGTTTGAATGGTCATGACCGCTGGACACATTGAAGTATTGCTAAAGTTTTGTTCATATATTTGGTACATCATACATATGTTTTTAAAAATATAAAATGAGATTAAGAAAAAATGTTCAGTGAGTGGAGGGAGGAGGTACGCAGGGGATAGGGAATGAAAAATTGTTTTGAAAATAATATTTTTTCTTTAGATTTTGAAATTGAAAATTGTTGTCTTTTTTTTGGAAACTAAAACAGTTCTCAGATGTGTTTTTTCATTTATAGTTTTAAAAATTCTTAAAAAAAAAAACTGGGCCCTAGAAGATTTGAGTCCTAATATTGTTCCAGAGACATATTTTAGATCTTGTGATGGATGTAAACCTCCTTCCGAACAAATTGTCCTACAATTGGCATTTGATTAAGTGCAACTTTGGATCTTGTGACCATTCTGGTTGAATAAGTTGGTATGATTCCTTTTATTTATTTTTTTGTTAGTGCACATCATCCAATAGTGATTTCCCTATAAGCCATGCTAGTCAACTTTCAAATCCGTTCCTTAGTTTGCCGCTTGAATTTGGAAAATGTGAATCATGTGGTGCTGCGGAACCCGGGACATGCGAAGGTATTTTTCATGTTTTAATCCTTTTTTGTTTTCTGATTACACTGAGAAGTTTGAATGGTCATGACCGCTGGACACATTGAAGTATTGCTAAAGTTTTGTTCATTTTTTTACCTTTCAGGTCACTTTGGGTATATAGAATTACCAATTCCAGTATATCATCCTTCCCATGCGAGCGAACTAAAGCGGTTGTTGAGCCTGGTTTGCTTTAAGTGCTTGAAGTTGAGAAGTGGGAAGGTAATGGATATGTTTATAGAAGGCTTCACGTAAAATCTATTTGTCATAAGTAATTAAATCCTTTTGCTTTCTTGATTGAGAGGGTAGCAGATTATTGTGTTGTGTTATGGAAAGTGTAAGTTTCTGCCACTGCATCCTCAGAAGTCATGCTCTGCCACTAATATTAACTTCAATACTGTTTACTCCTCTTAGGACTGCCAACATTGCTTTATACTTGTCTTTATAAGTTTCTATTACTTTTTTGGGGTTTATTAGTTTGCATGCTTCTATTACACTTCGTGCCATATCCACTGGAGCTTGTTGCACAGAATCCTGCTTTCTTTGTGTCTTTTCATTGCTCCTTGATATTTGATTTCCTCTCTTATGTGGTGAAACATAATGTCACTAAGATATATGCCTATGCTAGTTGCTCATACTATTGTTTTGTGCTTGGACCAGTTTATGCAGATGGAAGTATTTGTCTGGATATTCTACAAAATCAGTGGAGTCCAATATATGATATAGCTGCTATACTGACATCTATCCAGGTATGATGGAGTGTATATATGGTTCAAAAATATCTATTGCTAGGAATGGTCAGATGATATTGCTCGTAGTAAAAAATCACCCTTTGATTTTGATTTAAAGATACTAGTTTCGAATGATTAGTGAAATGGTAAACTGAAGCTGTTGTAGTTAATTTGCTTGAAAAAGAGTTATTCAAAAGAACTTTTTCTGTCAATTTTTTGGTGGAGTATGACAGACTCGTGTTTGTTGATTTTGAGAAAAAAGGGCGTCAAGCCTGCAACCAATTTAGAATATGCTAGCACAAAACATATCTCCTTTGGCTCTTGTGCTATTTATTTTTTTCTTTATGGTTTCCACTTTCCTCTATGTAGGTAATATAAAATATGAGAAATCTAGAATGAAATACAAAAACATTTGAGAGCAGCAAAATAAAGTTGATTGGTTTGTGCATACCTATCTATCCACTTTATTTAACAGAACTTTTACTTTTCTTTTTTAAACAAATTTTCATAAGGTAGCAGAATTGAACCCATGTTGGCCACTCCATGCATACTATCCGTTGGATTTAGTGTGGCAAAATAGCGGCCAACCTTTCATTAATTGTTAACAGGCTCATAAAAAAAAAAACAACTTGGGGCACGTGTTTATGCGTGGTGTGTATTAAATTCATACTGTGCAATCATTTTACTAATAAATAAATGAGCAAAACTGGCAAATGCATGTAATAAACTCAGCAGTTTGTCAATTGTTCAAGCATGACTCTACCATACCAAATAGATATAACTTCTAGGAATGTTTTGATTCCACAAAGCTACTGGTCACTAGTTCAGGTATGATGTTTTTTGATTTTTCCCATTTTTCTCATTGCAGTCATTGCTCTGTGATCCAAACCCAAACCCAAGCCCAAATGCAGGTTTTCCCTTTTTCTCATTTCAGTCAATGCTCTGTGATCCAAATGCAAACTCACCTGCAAATTCAGAAGCAGCATTGTTGTTTAGTGAGAACAAGCGTGAATACAACCGGAGGGTGCGTGAAATTGTTGAGCAGAGCTGGACAGAAGACTAAATCTCTCTTGCTTTAGGTGCTATAGGACGTAATTAAGCTGCTTCAAATCACTAATCTTCCTCGTTGTAGGTGGCTGGTTTGATTTTCTCTGGTGTTTGTGTATCATAGTGGTTCGAACAAATTAATTTGGTTATTCATGTATTATGTATGGATTTAAATTATTGACGTTGGATTAGACTTGGAGTGTATGGAATTTGTATGGATTATGTATGGATTATTGACCCTAATATATTTTAGTGTTGATGGATTATATTGTTTATACAGGGTACATGTAATA